ATACTCTATAGAATATAGAGAATGCTAATAGTATGAAAACGTGAAGTTCTTGATTTTGATGGAGTCCAATTTGTCAATATTTTCTTCTGTTCTGCTTAAGAAATCTTTGCCTACCCCACAGTCATGAAGATATTTTCCTGGTTTTTTTTTCTACCAGCTTTATTATACTACCTTTGATAAATAGGTCTAAAGTCTATTTTGAATTAATTTTTGTGAATTATGTGAGATAAAAGTTCTTTTTTTTATACAGATACCCAGTTTTTCAGCAACATTTATTGCAAAGACCCATTCTTTCTATTATAGAATTGCTGCTTTTGACATAAATCAAGTGACTGTAGATGTGAGGCTCTGTTTCTAGATTCTTTATCTGTATTTATGCTGTTCCATACTGTCTCACATGCTGTAGCTTTATAATAAGTCTTACTATCCAGTAGTGTACATTCTTCAGCTTTAACTTTTTTTTAAGATTGTCTTGGCCATTCTGCATCTTTTGAGTTTCCAGATAAATTTTGGAATCAACTTGTCAGTTCTCACAAGACAAGCCCACTGGGAGTGTGATTGGTATATCTATGAATTGGAGTAGAATTTACATATGAACAACGATGTCTCTTCCAGTCTACGAAAATGGAATATATCTCCACTATTTAGGTTTGATCTTTACACTCTTTAAGCAGTGTTTTGCGGTTTTTAAAGTATGGGTCTTAGACTTTTTGTTATATTTATCTTTGTATTTCGTGTTGTTTGATGCTATTATAAATGGTATTTCATTAAATTTCATTTTTAAGTGGTGTTGCTAATACATAGGAGTATAATTGAGTTTTTGTGTGTTAACCTCATATTTACTGATCTTATATTTCCTTGCTAATTCTAATAATTTATTTGTAGAGTCTTTTGGATTAGATTTTCTACATAGATAGTTGTGTCACCTACAAATAATGACAGTTTTACTTCTCCCCTGCCAATCTTTATATTTTCATTTCTTTCTCTTGCTTTATTATACTATCTGGGACCCCAACCGCAGTACTAAAAGGTGGTGATAATAGATAGCCAGCTATTGATGAGACAGTTACTGTGTCAGTGTGGCCTTGGAGATATTTTGAAGGTTTCAGTTCATTGTTAATGAGATTTTCCTTTGATATACTTCATGATTTACTATTGTTTTAATTTGAGCTTTTGATAGTTTGTGTTTTTCAGGTTGATTGGTATTAGTTTTAAATGTATTGAGTGTCAAGGCTGTGGCAAACATCTAGTTTAATGGTTCTCAACCAGGGACACTTTTGCTTCCCAGGGGACATTTGGCAATGTCTAGAGACATTTTTGGTAGTCACAACTGGGGAAGAGGGTGCTACTGTCATCCAGTGAGTGGGGAGAGACCAGGGGGTGCTGCTAAACATCCTCCTGCATATGGGACAGGCACTACAACAATGCATTTTACAGTCCAAAATGTTAGCTGTGCTGAGATTGAAAAGCCCTGATCCGTTTCAGCTTCTTCCATTTGATAAGAAACCGAGGCCCACAAATACGAAGTGATTTGCTGTTACCTATTTTAAGTAGCATAGATCCCACACTTCCTATATTTATGAAGAAGAATAATTGCCATTATCGTCAGACAGATACTGTGAAAAGGTTTGCATATATCCTCTCTATTCCCCAGAAAGGTAAGCAACACTCCTCGTGTCATATATCAGGACACTGAGACAGATGGAGCTTCATCCATTAATTTGTTCGGTAAACATTTAGTGAGAAGTGCCATGGGGTTTTTTGTTGTGTTTTGGAAGTAAGAGATACAGTGATGAGTAAAACTGATGGGCATAGTGAAAATTATATTCTAGCAAGGAAGACAGACCAATCACAGTTGAGTAAGGATGATGAACTATGGGAAGTGATACAAAGGAAAAAGGGTGATGAGAGAAGAGATCAGAGGTGAGGAGGAAGTCTACTATATACATGTGGAGGTTGGAAATGCTTCTTTGTTGTGCTGACATTGACGCTGAGACCTGATGAATGAGCACAAGATAGTTATGTGAAAAGTATGGAGAGCTGTGTCAAGAGTTGTGGGCTGAAGCACAAGAGAACGACGTGGTTTTTAAGAAGTTGGAAGAGACTCTGGCACACGACCATCGATAGGGAAGGTGACTTAAAACTGGAGATGTAGGCTGCAGTGAGAACTTTGGGTTTTATACTATTGGCAGTGAGAAGTTGTTGAGGGCTTCTGAGTGGGGGAGGAATGTGATCCCATCTGTACTTTTCAAACTCCCACTATTGCCTGTACAATGACTTGGAAGAATGGAGCAAGAGTAGAAAGCAGGAAGGCTGGTTAGGAGACCTTTGCAGAAGTTCAGGAGGGGAGGAAGACAGTTTTGAGATATTATTTTTGTTTTGGAATTGGAAATTACTGGATATGTTAATGAGTAAGGGTGAGGGGGCTGGGCGAAAGGGAGAAGCCAAGGATGGCTACTAGGTGTCTGGTTTGAGGACCTGGGTGAATATATCAAGATGGGAAAGATGGGTGGGGGTGATTATTTGGGGGGGTAGAAAAAAGGGACTCTCTAGTTTGATGTTGGACATACGGGAGATGTCTGACAATTATTTAAGCTGCCATGTGATTTCATTTCCATATGCTCCATCTTCCTTGGAAATGATGAAAAGTTTGTTTTCCTAGAAAAGTTATTTAGAAAGATAGTATAGTGCATTTGGAAGAGGACTAGATTGGTTTTCAGATGTTCTCTGGGTTATAGCTCTCCTTGGTGGGGCGACTGATTGTGGCCAGCATCTCTGGATGATCTCTTCAGCCAACGACAGGGCATTGTTGGACCTGATGTTCCTTGCAACACGGTTTTGTAGCCGTGAATGTAAGTTATCCCCTTAGCTTTCCTCTCACTGCTCTGCCTAGGATTTCCATATTATGGCCCTGCTTGGTTAGGACTTGGTACAGGTTTTTTACTTTGCCTACCTGGGATTTACAGGCAAAGATATTTGAATCAGGCCTTCTTTGTGCCTTTTTTTTCCCTCTTATTTCTTGAACCTCAGTGGTTTTATAGTTAGATATAGACAGAAAATTGTCAGACTTCCTGCTGATGGATTCCTTGTTGTAACAAAAGCAACGACCCTTTGTTGCCCTGTCTAGGAAGTGTAAAAACACTTCAGGTATTGGGGTGTCTATTTTTGATATTTTTTAAATGTTTAACTATAAAAAATCTTTTCGTCTGTGTCCTAGAACACGTTTACCTTTCAGTCCGTCCTGAATATGCCTTTTGGCTCTTCAAAGATTCAGTAAAGCCCATGTTTCACAGAGAAGGAGGGTAGGAGCAGGAAGCACTTCCCTGAGAGATGCCTGTCCTCTCCAACCGAGTGTAGAACCAGTTCCCATTTAGGGAAATGTGGAGGAACCCACAGTTTTAGCCCTTCCAGGGAAGGCACTGAAGTACTGCCTGGGAGTTAAAGTACACACATCAATCAAGCTGATAAGTCTTATCCCCAGTTAGTATATAATAAAATATTAACAAGGCTAAATCAAATGAGTTTTTAGTTTAGCTATATAAGTGGAAAGCAATTTTGAGGTCTGTTGCATAAAGAATTCCAGTTCCGTGGTAGAGTAGCAAATAAATGGGATTGGGGGCGGGGTGACGGGGTGGGGTAGATAAATCACCCATTATTATTTCACTGCTATCAGCAGTGGTTCCTTAAGGCCAACATAGTGGCTTTATCAGGCTTCCTAACAGTTGGATTTCAAGATCTGCTTCAAGAAGTAAATTTGTATGAATATGAGTGAGTACATTTGAAGGATCTATCCTGTGCTGTGAGCAATTCGTAATAACTAACAATAAGGCCCTGTAATAGTCCAGTATGGTTTTTACTTAATAAAATATTTAATCATAAATGTCTGAATTCTGCATCTCCCACAGGAAGGCATTTCTGTGCCCACTGACAAGAATAATTTAGCAGTTTCATAGTCAAGCGCTTAATTACTCATAATTGTGAAGGGTAAGATGTGATGAATTCCTCCTCGATGGACATACTAAATATTTTAACTAAGGAGATGACTTAAAGTAAATTAAGCTAGTGAGATCATTTATTACATCGGTTAAAAGCAGCTTAAGAAATCTGTCCTGTCCCGCATGCCGTTAGATGAGAACACGCGTGCGGCTGTTTCTGCCAAGTAACCGCAGGCTGCGCTGTTGGGACGGAGGGCAGGTGTTTGGGGATGGGGCTTGGGAGGTGAGTATGAGGAAGCTGGTGTGGTTGTTTGGATTTGTGTTCGTATGTTTTGCCTGAGTCAGTCATGAGGATCCTTAGCTTTATGTAGAGTTTGGTTCTCAAACTCTGGTTGCCCTTCTGGTTGGTCTGAGGGCATGTGTCCTATATCGGGACAAAGGAAGGGACTTGACAGCCTGGGCTGACCCTTAAACCTCGTTGGCGTGTTTTTCAGGGAAGATGGCCTGAAGCAGTTAGAGGTGGAATAAAGAGGTGAAGGTACAAGAGAAAGTGTTCGTAGAGTGCTCTTCTAAACTGCTGAATTAGGAAGAAACTTCCATTTTGGAGTAGAAAAAGAGGAATCCAGGTATTTCCGGAGTTAGCCGAATATGGCAGCACATCACAGTTGCGTTGTGCGGTGAAAGGCTCCAGAGCCTCCTGCTTACCATTAGGGAAGGTTGAAACAACTTGTCGCATTAAGTTAAGCTTCTTCCCTCGAGTGTCTTATTTAGCTTTGCTTCTCTTCATTCTCTTTCCCTGGTGATTTGGGTAAAGTGTCTGAAACCACTAAAGGTAAAAGGTTGAAGCAATCCCAAATTTAATAATCTATCACCTTTCTTTCGCATATCTGAGTGTAATTCCCAGCAGTTCTTCGCGAATTCATTAGAAGACAGCAAGTCATTAAAAGTTAATAAGAAACTGTTTGTTTCCGTGAGTGTGAATAAAACCACTTTGTGAGTCTGACATTCTTTTCCAGTTGTAAAAGCCTTGCTTTTAGCCAGTTTCCATTTTCTCTGTCTCCCTAGCTTACTCCTGGATGGGGCACCTCTGATAGCAATCCACAAAGCCAGGTATTACAAGAGGAAAGACGGCCTCGCCCTGGGGCCCGGACCATTCGTGACAGCTCTGGAGTATGCCACAGACACCAAAGCCACAGTCGTGGGAAAACCAGAGAAAACGTTCTTTTTGGAAGCATTGCGGGGCACTGGCTATGAACCTGAGGAGGCCGTCATGATAGGAGATGTAAGTAGAAAAACCCAGGAAATGCCCGGAGCTTACCTGTCATGCGGGCAAGAGCCAGCTTCGAGTTACTGCTTTGAAACACAGGCAGATTCTCACTACAGGTATCGGATGGTAGTAAGTGGGTACCTATAACAGGCTTGCCAGAGCTGGTTAGTGATCCTCCTGTAAAGAATTGAAATTTTGATCACTTCTGACATTGTTCATAATGTGGTGAGATATGTGTACAATCGAAAGACCACTAAATGCAAGTCAATTAAGTGCTGTATATGTCTTTGTGAAGAAAACCTCTACACAAATTTAAGGTTTTTTGAATATTATGTATACAGAGAACAACGTATACCGACAGAATTCTGCCATTATTGATTCTTTTTCCTAGTACATGCTTTATGGAAGAACTTCCCAGTCAGCTGCCACAGATAGCTACAGATATTGATTGCCTCGGCCCTCTGAGTGGTAGGGCTGGACCTGGACAATTGGAAGCTCTAGCCGGTGACCTCTGGCCGGGAGCACCTTGCCATTTTCCCCCAGTGTCCTGGGAAAATGTTATTTTCTATGTGTGCCGAGAGGGTAAAAGAGCTAGAAAAAAGCACACTGCCTTGTGGCAAGGAGACGGCAAGGATTATCTTTCAGTCTGAAGTCAACGCATTAGGCTGGAAGGGACCATGGAGGTTGTCCGGTTCAAACCTCGTCATTTGATAGACTGGGATGCTGGAGCCCAGAGAGCTAAAGCTCCATGCCTGAATTCCCACAGCTAATGAGTGGCCCAGCCAGAAGTAGAACTCAAGGCTCCGGACTTCCTTCAAAACAAATTGTGGATCCCTCGCTTGCCTCACTTGTGATGGTGCAGATAGAGCTCGGTGTTCCTCGTTTCCCTGTCCGCTTCCTTCCTCACTCACCTGAACCCAAACAGGACAGTCACTAAACTTGGTGTTGCTTTGAGAAGCCATCTTTTCGGTCACATCTTTTCCTTTTGGCAAGCCTTTAGCTGACTTTCCTAGGCAAATGCGTGTTTGAAGAAGTGGGGACGTCAGAATTCTTTATCCCAGGAGTTTCCTGTATGAGGACAGGGTGGGAGGCAGGAAGGGCACGTGGTGGCAGTGTTCAGCTGCGTGGAGGGTTGCTTGTTACCCCAGAGACGACGGGTTTTCTCTCCCTTCCCTTGTCCACTTTTTCCCACCTCCCTTCTTCCTTCTCTCCCTCTCCCCCATCTCTGCCGCTTCACTAGGGCAAGTTTAGATGCAATGGAAGGTTTTAAGTTAGACCTTGAATGAAGATTTTGATATTCTAAAACTCATTTCCAAGGTCTGTTGTTGAATGATATTAATGATTTTTGAGGAAAAGACTTTTCTTCAGGCATGGTCTGAATGAGTCCTGTCTATAAAGTCCTATAAAGACATAAGATGACAGGATTGATTTTCTTTCTTTTTTGGGGGGGTGAGGGGGAGCAGAGGGAAAGGGAGAGAGAAAATCTTAAGCAGGCTCCACACCCAGCGGAGAGTCCAATGCAGGGCTCGATCTCACAACCCTGAGATCGTGACTGAACCAAAATCAAGAGTGGGACGCTTAACCAACCAAGCCACCCAGGGGCCCCAAGGATTGATTTTCTTGATATTCCTTCCAGTCCTTGGATTTTTATTACCTGGCGTTTATCATCACAGTGAACCAAGCATATTCATCTCTATTGTGGGTAAGAATTAGAAAAAGAAGCTACCTTTTCTAACTGATCTGTTATCTCCCAAGTGTGAAGTGAATCTCAGAGAATCTTGGCTTGATTATTCTGATTTGGCTTGATTCCACCTTTGAGGGACAACTGGCTGGAAAGTAAGGATAGTGTGTTAGAGCAGCAGAGCTGTCTTCCGAATGTAGTCCATTCACGGTCTGCAGTTGGATCGTTCACCTTCAGAGCTGCCGGATGAATAGAATGGTTTTTCCCATGATCTGTTTGAGACAGGTGTACATGTGGAAAAAACGAACTGTAGATGTGCTCTTTGTGCTTGACCACTAGGATTACTAATCTGTTGTACACCTTCCACTTTTCGACACCTCCCTTTCCAAATGACATGCTTCCTCATACGGTTCCATGTCGATTTACCCCCTTTTCCCCTCTTGTATTTTAAGAAAAAATAATGCTATCACAGCTGGCCATGCCAGCCTAATCAGTCAGTCAATTGGTAGGGTTTTGTTGACAAGCTAACTGAAGACAGCGAACTAAATGCTTTCTTTATGCTTTTCTAGGATTGCAGGGATGATGTTGGTGGGGCTCAGAATGTCGGCATGCTGGGTATCTTAGTAAAAACTGGTATGTATCTTCTGCATAAGCCTTCTCTAAAACAGGATGGTAAAATACACAGTTCCTTAAAGAACAGTCTTTGCAGAAATGACAAAGCCCACTGGGCACTTTAATTCTCTTTCCGTCACAAAGCAAAAATAAAATGGGCTCAGGATCTCGAGGAACAAAAGACATTGTGGGAGGGCCCATGCTGCATAAAACTAGAAAGATCAGAGAGAGTTCAGAGGTTATTTTAAAACGTACCCAGAGATAACCATGCTGGTTGACAATTAGTATTTATATGATTTTCTTGATACACAAATCACCACATTGGAATGGACCAAAGACGACTGATTTGGGAATGCTCTATAAAAGTATCTTTTTTTTGGTGCCAGCTATAAGCTGATAAAGTTGGTCTACTTCAGGAACTGGTGGGCTAAGTGATCTGATACTTTCTGTTAACACTTGCATTTTTTAAAAATCACACAAAGAACTTTTATCCTTTACTTACTGTTTTAGGAATTATTTCCTATTCCAAGATTAGGTATATTCTTTGTGGTCCCTCAAAGTAAATTTAAGGAAGACAGGAACTTACTGGGGAGGACTCAGCTGATACGGTATTATGACTACAGAGGACCCATTAGTGTCCTGGGTCCTGGCCTCAGTCCGCATGACTAGCCGTGCAAGGGCATGTGCCTGTGTGCATATAATGCTAGCGAAACCATTTAAGAGGCTATTCCTAAAAAGGGAGATTTAAACAAAGTTTCAGAAGAGCTGCAACATGGAAATTTTTTAGAAAAAGTACATTTACTCCTGACTGACATTTATTCAAGAAAATGTGGTTGCACAAAATTTAATTTTAGAAATTAAAAGTAGAAACAAGAAAGCGTAGCTAGAGCTACCATTGGATACGAAGTATTTGGCAAGGCCCTGTGTGAACAGTGCAGGCCGGGCCAGGGTTCTGGAGGGAATCGTTGGAGCCTTGCAAATAGTGACTCTAGTCTTTCCAGAACGAACAGTGTGTTTGTTCACATTTCTCAGTCAAAATGATCGGCATCCTCCTGAGAACGTTACTGCCCTTTGATGTAAGCGCACAAAGAGGAAGTATCAAGAAAAAGTCCAGAAAAGTCATCACACTCATGATCCCTCCCTGTATGTTAATTTTCAAATTCCTGCCATTCACTATTTTATTTTCTGGTCACTGAGGAAATCTCCAGATAACTATTTCTCCTCTTGTGTATTAGTCCTGTGAACATGTTCTCTCTTTAGCTCACATAATTAAGGATTTACACTAAGTATGGAAACCGCCCTATGCCAGTGTCTTATGGGCCCTTCTCCCCTCCCCCTGGACTGGCTTCTGTTGGTTGTCCCTCCTTTTCTGACTGGCAGTTGGTTGTGGTCAACCTGTCACAGAGCCATCCAGTTGGTCTTAGAGAACCCAGCAGCATAACACGACCAAACTGAAAACATATAACCAGTAAAGCAGCTGAGTCCAGTGCAGGGAGAAAGGCCCATTTGTACTGTTCGTCTTTGGTCAGAAACAAGCCCAAGTAAGCCCACTGTTCTAAAAGCACAGAAAATGGCTGGCTCTGTTGATAAATTTGAACTCCCTGCATTTGAACAAGTACTAGGCTTCCCAGTGTTGAAAATGATCATAAAGTTGTTAATCTATCCCATAATAAGTGTTTGTTGTGGACGGTCTTGAGCAGTTTTGTTTCTCAGTGAGTAGCACATGGTAGAAGCTCAGTATGCATTTGCCCGATGATTTGTTAATAAAGATTTGTGACTAGTCCTACCCAGAATGTATTTGTTTAGCATGTTAAACAGTCACCTAGAAAAGATACTATCGAATATCCTCAAAATGGCTTCCTGTATTCTCTCAGGAATTTATGTACCCGGGAAAGCACAGACTGCCACAGTGAGTGAAGCAGGCGTGAGTGACGGTGGCCTCCTTCATTCACTCAGCCCACATCAGTGAGCACCTGCTGTGTACCAGCCACAGTTTGAGGTGCTGGAACTATCGCACATCTCTCAGCCACAGGGTCAGTGTGGACTTTGTAGAAGCCCCCACTTGCAGGCCCGGACAGCAGCAGCACCCCATGGCTAAGAAACTTGACTTTCACGTGTGCGCCCTTAGGCCACTGGCCCCAGGGAGTAGGTGGTATGGTAGAGCAGTAGTTAGTGACTTCTGTATGAGGCCAAGTAGAAACGTGGCAAGAGTTTGTACTTCATGGAATTTAAGCTTGAGAAAAAACTAGCAGCAGAGTTTTCTGTGTGGCCCATACTGTGGACAGGTGCCTTGAGGATGCTAAGGTGAGTGAGGCAGATACTCATTACCTTTGTACTTTTTTTTTTTTTTAAGATTTTATTTATTTGACAGAGAGAGACACAGCGAGAGAGGGAACACAAGCAGAGGGAGTGGGAGAGGGAGAAGCAGACTCCCTGCTGAGTAGGGAGCCCGATGCGGGGCTCGATCCCAGGACCCTGGGACCATGACCTGAGC